GGGGGACCTGGCAGCACACACTGAGCATGATACTCAGGGAGAGAAGCCAGCTCTGGCTCTGGATAGGGCTGTGGCCGCCATGCAGGGGCCAGGCCATGTTACTGGGACAGCTGTTGCTGGGTCATTGCTTAAACTGCAGCCGAGGGGATAAAGGTTAGATATTAGGGAAAGTTTCTGCACGTAGGAGGGTGGAGAGCTGGAACAGATTGCCTCTGGCGGGGTGGGCTATCTGCTGTGTTGCTTGGGCTCTTGCCTTGGTGTTAGAGATCCTCTTACTCCACCCCAAAAGCCTTTGAATCATCACTACAGGAACTTGCACTGCAGCCCCTTGAGACTTAACCCATGAGGGAAAGGTTTAAGGGCTGGGCAGGCTGGGGACTTCCAAAAAGATTCTCTGGCTTGCCCTAAGGCACATGTTCTAGGGAGGGAAGGATGCAATTGGGATGTAGAGCTGCTGGGCAGAGTCAGTGCTGAGACAGGTAAGTGCAGCAATGCACATGCTGAGCTCTGGAAAGCGCTGAGGACCCCAGGCTCTGCCTCATGTGGTAGGATGGTGAATACAGGGATCTGGCCAGTGACTTAAAAGTGGGGCTCTTTTGGGGCAGGTGAATAGGAAAGCTGGAGGCCAGCGAAGAGATTAGGCGGTGGCTTGCAGCATGCAGGTAGCAGGCAGCGATACCAACCTGTGGCGGAGGAGCCCAGGGTGCGTCCGGGGTAAGCTGTTAGCAGGGGACACGGGGAGAGAGAAAAGGTACCATGAGTCAAAGAAGGAATGTGGCTGGCTGGGTCTGGCCCAGGCTGAAGAAGGAGATGAAGATTGGCCATGGCCTTCTTGTAGGCAGAAAGAGCCAGCGGACAGCCACAGTATCGAGCAGGAAAGAAGGAATTACAGTTTGCAAGCAACAAGACCTGCAGCTACTGGGATAAGAATTAAAACCCAGTCTGCCCTGCACGCTGGTGATGTGGCTTGTAGGAGCAGCCCAGAGAGAGGTGTCTCGCACACTAGCGCTTGTCTGAGATCCCCTGCACTCCCAAAGCTCTTGCCCAGTTTAACGGAGTTATCACCTTTCCCAGCTACATCCACTGAGCAAACAGAACTAAACAAGCCATGTACAGGACAGCAACAAACCTAGACAAGCGTCCTGACCGTCCCCAACAGATGTGGTTACCTGTATCCATCCCTAGAGTGCCTGGCGATGGCAAGTAGGAGGTCATTCCCGATATAAGCATGCTAACTGGCAGGTACACAATATTTAGGGTCTCCAGCATGTACCACAAGTTGGCTCGACTTCACAGCAAGCTCCTGATACCAAACTTTGCGACTCCCTCACGCCTGAGCTGAGGACAGTGCCAACAGGTTGACCCCATGGTGACCAAGCACACAGGCAGACCTGACTGGAGAGAGCGCACACACACAGGCACAAGCACACGTGAGCTTGATGGCAGAGCGGAGATGCACCCCAGCACAAGCTGGGCAAATGCAACATCTTTGTAAGCATGGAAGAGAGGGTGGCACACAGAGAAAAGGAGATGGCACCTGCCAGGCTTAAACATACTGTAAGCACAGAGTTCCCTGGTGAATTTTCTGGGATGCACCCGGACAAGAAGCACCCCTACAATTTCGACAGTCTCAGGCACGTTCACAGTGTGAGTCACAGCCCATCCGGAGCAGGTGACACTCATACGTGCTAGTGGTTTTTGAGAGCTGCCGTGCAGTAGAGGGGCTCATTGGATTATGCTGGGCAGTGTGCGTGGCAGGAAGGACCTAATTCAGCTCAAACCCTAGCTAAGGCCTATATGGCTGCAGCCCTGCAGCAGAGGCCAGAACAGAGCCTGTGGGAAGGGAGACAAAATGGAGGGCTGCCACGTAATGGAGGGGCAAAGTTGCTTGTGATGGCACCCCTCTATATTGACTTACACCTTCAAAGGTCATACATATTCCATGACACTCCTGCCCTGTGACTGTTCCAGCTGTCCTCCTCCTCCCTGGCCAGCTAAGCAGCAGCTCTGTGCTGTCCAGCGTCCCCGGCAGATGGGGGGGGCAGGGCAGGAGGAGAGGGTTGGGACATCTCCCTGCTTGCAGGGGTACCACCACTGTTTTGAACCTGCTCAGGTCACGGGCAGGACAGGGTCTCATCCCACCACACCAAGGAAGCCAGTGAGAAGGCTCCCTCTGCCCCACTGCGTTCTCACCAGGCTTGCAAAGTCAAAGGGGCTCCACGAGCCAACCCTCTAATTAACCTGCAGGCTGCTCTAACTACTCTACTAAAGAGGAGTTGAGAAAAGCCTTGTCTGTGGGTATTAAAGACAGGCTGCTGGGTTTTGTGGGGTGCTCATAGTCTGGTAGCATTTGCTAGGCCAGGCTTGGGGTGTCAGAGGCTCTCAAGGAGCCTGGTGGCAGGACAAACAGCTCTCACAGGAGAAGGGTCAGGGCCTCTCATAGCTGCTAAGTGCTGAGCCTGGCTGAACCAAGGACTCAAGGCAATGCAGTGTCCACATATCCTTCTCCAATTTGCAGGGTTTGTATGGCCTGCGTCTTGGAAGCAGTGACCATGGGCAACTAGCTCTGTGATCACGTCTGTGCTGTCAGGAGGGTGCTGTGCTGGGCTCTCTCAAGCTGGGAGCTGACCTGGGGGACTGTCAGCCTGAGAGGTGCGTTGTGCCATTCTTTGTGGTGAAGTGGAATGGGCTACTCGGCATTGTTGTGAGATGAGGCTGCTAGGAACAACAAGTTGCTGTCTATGGTGAGTCAGGAGATGAGATTGAGAGGGGCTCTGGGTTGTAAAACACAAGAGTTGGTGGTTATTTCTTCAGGGACTGGGAGGGAAGAAGCCAGCAGCAGCCTGAGAAACACTTATCAGTGTGCTCCCAAGAGGAAGAGGATTGGTGGCTGCTTGGGCGTAGGACAGCTGAAGTGCAGACTGGGACACTGTGAACAAAGAAACAGGCTGCAGCTGTGCACTGGGGCCGGGGGCCGGATCCTCCGGAAGTGAGCATCAGAGAGAAGGGAAAGGATTGGGAGCCCAAAATCTACACTTGAAACTTCAAACTGTCTCCTAAACACAGTGCCCCAATATGAGCTCACAGTAAAGGCGGATGCTGGTACAGCCACCCTCACAGACAAAAGCATCTTGGGGATGAGGTTGGGGGGCTGCTGATGGGGTGCTTCTGAACCTATGATCTCCAGAGTGAAGATGTCTGGGACAGGTCATGAGACAGGGCTGTCCCTGGTGCTCGGGTGTCTTTGCCCAAGAGACTGTGGGGATGCACACCAGGGTACAGGGGTGACAATGCTACAGCTTGTTTCCCAGGGCATGTGGCAGCATTGTGCTGGAAATGTGAGGGAGGGGACAGCCCTAGCACAGTGGGTGGGTAATGGAGCAGCCGTGGGGTGAGGCTCTAGGGTGGCACCCTTTCCATGCTTGCTGCAGCATGCTATGATGCTGTGACAATCCCCCCGCTCCCACCAGCTGCCCTCCCACACAGCAAGCGAATCGTGACCCCCAGGTGCCAGAAGCAGCACACAGCATGAGACAGGCCAAGTCATTGCAAAGGCAACAACACAGAGCTGGCTATGGGAGGCAGCTATGCAGGTCCCATGCTTTGTACAAGACCCACTAATGCCAGCTGCAGAATCCCCACTGGCGGGTGGTGCCAACATCCAAGGTGCTCTGTATAAAAAGGAGACAGGACCTGGGGTGGTGATAAGGACTCTACCGCCCTGTCTCTAGCCCCTCCTGCTGACCCACGGGTCACCCCATGCTCCCTACTGGGTCTAAGCTGAAGATGAGACATGTGCAGATGGACCAGCTGGGTAGGGAGTTGTTCAAGCCCACTGACAAAATGTCAGAAATCTGATGCTGACCTATGAGTTGCATTTGGGCCGCAATAGGGGTGCCTGTAAAATAGCACTGAGGGGGTTCATTCTCTATGGAGGTGTGTCCCATAGGCCCTCTGATAGGAGTATGGACCAATGCATTGAAGGAGGAGAGGAGCCCAGTTGTGAAGGGAAGGCCTGTGTGCTGTGGAGGATGAGCTGGGCCCTGTTGCTCCAGGAGCAGGGAGCATTGCTCTGGGATGTGTAAGGCCAAAGCCCTGAGTACACCCAGGGAGGAAAGCAAAACCCCAGTAGTAGGTGAGACCCTGGCACGGTCTCCTCCAAGCTTCCCCCAACAGATGGCTGATGTGAGCATGCAGCCACTGGACACAGCCATCCCCCCCCACCCTGCCAAGGAGCAGGGGTGGGGGATATCTTGCCCCATGGTCCTTCTGACTCCAGCTCATGGACTTAGTGCTGAAGTAAAGGCCTAACTCTAAGCAGCTGAGTTACCCCAGTAAACAGGGACCTCAGACTCGGGCTTGACCCATTTATGCTTGTGAGATGGGGCTACCCATGTCGTACGGATCATGGGAGCCTCTTGAAGTTTGTGAGCGTCTTGGGGTCAAGGCTGTACTTACCTCTTCTGGAGGGATGCATACATCACTGGAGCTCAGTGCAAGCCAATGACTATGACCAAAGAGGCCTGCTCTCCTGATCAAATGTCTGTAACGGCCAAGGAGTGGAATCTCTGGGTCCCAGGACCAGTGAAAGTTGCCAAGTTTGAGGGATTCCCTGCCCACATGGCTGCGTCCCATACTGAACAGGAGGAGTGCCAGCTCCAGCCACCCCCAGGGAACTCATCCCCAGCCTCGAGAGATCCTAAGCCCTCTTGCCAAGTCTGCTTCACTGGATCATGATCTCTGCTTGGCATGGATACAGAGCACTGATGTTGAGCAGGTGTGGGACCCAGAGCTAGCAGGTTTCAATGCTCAGCCTACACAGATGGTCCTGACAGCAGGTGAGCTAAGGCAGATGTAGGAATGCCTACTGCTGGGTGGATCTGGGTGCTGGGTTCGCTACGAGGTATTCTCTAGGCCCAGTATGTTCATGGCCTTCTTGGGAAGCTGTAAAGGAAGACAGCACAATGAGTGCTAGGGATTCGCAGTGCTCGCAGCATTACCTGTGATCTCATGCTGCCTCAGCTCGTTGTATCTGTAGGACTGCTCCAGGGGCTTGATGGAGGAGTGGTAGATCTTCCTCAGCCGCTGCAGTATCCCTGCAGAAACAAAAATAGGCAGACGGGCAAAAGGCAAATCCCAGGAAACCTGGTGGAAGCCTTCCCAGGAAGGCCTGTGGACATTTTCTGCGGATCTTTAGGGTGATTGACTCATCTGCAGATTGTGGGACTTCCAGCTGATCCCAGTCACAAATCTTGATGCCCCCCTCCATGACTAATATTTCCTGCTAAGTACTGTCCCCAGTTGCTGCCAGTCATGTGGCACCTCTTAACACCTCTTAATGCTGCTTAGCACCCAGCGCCCATGATCCCAAAGAATCCTCCACCACCGCATTTGAGGACCCCCTGCCACAGTCAGCACGGCCCCCCCCATCCTGCTAACTAAAAGAAAGGAGAAAAGAGCTTTTCTCACAGGAGCTTGTATCATTTCCTTTCTAGTCCTGATTGACAATGGGACCAGCAGAAGACTTACATAAAAAAACAAAACCAAAAATTCTCTACTACAAGCTGCCCCAAGTTTCTCTGAAGAGTGAGCAGCAAAGGGGTTGGCCTGGGCCAACTCATCACTTGTGCTTTCCTGCCTCTCTGGTTTCTTAATTCTTTAACATCTTTGGGGTAGTCTTTAAATTACCTAAAGTACATTAACCCAGGAGAAGTATACTGAAAAGGCAAGTAGTTCCTGAGGGCACTACCAGACCTGTGAGAAGTAAGACTTAACCAAAACAAAAAGGGAAAGAATTTCCTTCCTATATTCCCATCCATGTTTTTTTGTGCAGCAGAGCAGGTTGCTGGCTCAGCTCTCACCTGGTTGTGCAACGGTGAGAAGCCTATCCCGGAGAGATCGTCGGGATTAAAGGAGCAGGGTTTACATGGCACACTGCCTCCATGCTGCCCAGGCCCATCGCCTCCATCCCTGGGTCCCTTACCTGAGAAATCATCAGCAGGTTTGTCCTCATTCAGCTTAAGGGTGCTCTCCAAGTGGGACCGGTCCCGCTTGGTCGTCTCAGTGGCTTCTTCAACCTCTTCTGCAGGAAAAGGCAAGAAGATATGTTACCGATGGATCCAAAGGGGAAAGTCCACAGGAGAGCTCACACAAGCTACTGCCGGGGAGAGGGCGCTGGGGAGCATGCCCACCCCGAGCCCGGAGACCCGCTGAATGTGTTGGCCGCTGACGGCTTTGGCAGGCAGCTCAGTTTCTGCTTTGCAAACGCTCCTCAAGGCTTCGCTGAGGCTGCCAACAGCCGTGGCAGTCAGAGGAAGTGTCGTGGGCAACTGTTTGGCTCTGAGGAGGGGCCGGCAAGGGAACCACGCAGTGTTTCCCGAGGTGGAAAGGAGGGATTGCCTCTAGCGGGGAATGCAAAGGACGTGCCTGGGAGGGGTGCTCGGGATTTGGGCCGCTGCGTAACGGGCAGCTGGAGCACGCGCTGCACCTGCTGCCGCTGGGGCCACTGCCCTTCCCGGCGCTGCGAAGATGCCGGAGCCGCTCCAGCACTTTGCCCTGGCGGCTGCCTGCCCCCCAGCTACAGCTTGTCTGCAGGAGCACGGCTAAGCCTCGACTTCGGGCTCTTTCTGTTCTGTCTCTCCTGTCCATCTCCAAAAAATGACACATCAAGATGGAGATGTAAGGTCAGGCAAGACCTGGGCTGGTTCTCAGGAGATCAGCCGACCAAACCCTGCCTTAGCCAGCCTGGTCCATGGCCGGCTGCCTCATCCAGTCTCAGCTCTGTAAATGGGGGTAATTCCCTTCCCCTTCTCCCACCTCAGGTCTGCCTCCTGTCAGGCTGCAAGCCCTTTGGGGGTTAGGACCTGCCTTGTGTGCCGGGGCCCTAGCTTCGCACGGCACAGCGGGAAAGTGGTCCTGGGGAGTGTGCTGCTGTGTGCCAAAGCCCGGGAGCACAATGCAGCTGCCTCCACCTAGGATAGTCACCCCCACGTCCTGGAGGAGTGGGCAGACAGGGGTCCTCGCTTCGGGAGTGCTAGCAGAGCTGTTGGCACGCTAAGGGCCCACCACAGCTCCAAGCACCTTCTGATAGCGGGACATGAATTGGGCCCTAGTCAGGGTTTCGCGTAGGTCTGTGAATAGACGTGGCTCCAGCTTGTTGGGTTGTGCTGGGCTATGGGCCCCCTGGCCAAACGGGGCACCTTGCAGCTCTGGGACGGGCCCAAGAGCCTCCTCTGAATTTTTCCCGGGTGTCGGGCTGAGGAAGACCTTTTTGACTTGCCAAGTAAAGCCACAGAGTCTGAGCTGGGTTTCTCTTTTGGCACAAACATGAACTCATTGAGCTGGGACATTACGGAAGGAAGCGAAAAAGAATCAGGCGGGCCCCAGGGCTGCTGCCTGTCCCGCAGGCCAAATGCCACAAGCGTTTCTAGTGAAACCTGGGGGCTCGTTCTGCCCTGCCTCTCTGTGACCGAACGCACCCTGTCCACGGCCGGCACAGCAATCTGAATTAGCTCTTGGGCACCTTCCCTGTGAAGGCAAAGGCTGAGAGCCTGTGGGCAACAGGCGAGAAACCCCCCAGCCCAGGCAGCATCCTGCCCGCGTGCCGAGAGAGCTGGGGGTTTGGTCCAGAGGAGCCTGAGGGAAGAGGCTACAGGTCCTTTAACAGGTCTGTAGATGCTGGAAGGGGCCTGGGGGAAGGGGAGAAATTCTCGTCCGTGTCCACAGGAGATGGGAAGAGAAGTGACGGGCTCAAAGTGCGGTGAGGGAAACGTTGGCCAGCCCTGGTATTGCTGCGAATAGCACCTGCGTCACAGGCCCAGGCGGGCTCCCGCCTGCGCTGTTGAGCCTGCGGGGCGGCCGGCCCAGCTGTGCCGCAGTTAGGGGCAGGGGCAGG